AAATTAGCTGGGTGTGGTGGCACACGCCTGTAATCCCAGCTACTCAGGAAGCTGACGCAGGAGAATTGCTTGAACCCGGGAGGCAGAGACTGCAGTGAGCTGGGACGGTGCCACTGCACTCCAGCCTGGTGACAGAGCAAGACTCCATCTCAAAAACAAAACAAAAAAAAAGAAAAAAAATTAAAGATATCTGGTTTGGTAGCTTGAGAGCCTGTTTATGGGAAATGACAGACTTGAACACTTATAATTGGGCTTGATGGGAGGTGTCTATGAACAGCACAGAAATGTTTCTGGAACTGACACACTTCCAGCTCGGCAGATTCAACATCTACTATGGCAGAGGTTGCAGTGAGCCGAGATTGCACCACTGCACTCCAACCTGGGTGACAGAGCAAGACCCTGTCTCAAAAAAAAATTAAAAGTAAAAAAAAAAAAAAAAGTAAAATAAATAAATAAGAGAACAACCCCCAGCTGACAGCCAGCAAAGAAACAAATCTCAGAATTAGTCTGCCAACACCCTGAATAAGCTTGAAAATGGATTCCTCCCAGAGTCTTCCAGTAAGAGCCCTGTTGGCCCACACCTTGACTTCAGTCTTTGAAATCCAGATCAAAGAAACCAAGCAAGCCAATCCAGACTTCTGACCTAAAGAACTGGGAGATAACAAATTTGTGTTGTTTCAAGCTGCTAAATGTTTGTGAGAATCTGTTTTGGCATCAACAGAAAATTAATACATTATTGACACCAGAAACATCAGAAACAGACTAGTTGTGGTGGCTCATGCCTACAATTCCAGCACTTTGGAAGGCTGAGGTGGGCAAATCATTTGAGGTCGAGTTTGAGACCAACCTGGCCAACATGGTGAAATCCCATCTCTACTAAAAATACAAAAATTAGCCAGGCGTGGTGGCACACCTTAATCCCAGCTATTCAGGAGGCTGGGGCAAGATAATCACTCAAACCCAAGAGGCAGAGGTTGCAGTGAGCCAAGACTGTGCCATTGAATTCCAACCTGAGCGACAGAGTAAGACTCTGTCTCAAAAAAACAAAACAAACAAAACCAGAAACTTAAGTACATCCTACATTCTTACATATTTATTCACCTGTATTCAAACTTAAGGCACTCTGTATGAAGCTACATTTCCTCACTCTATCTTTGCCTGAACCTTGATTTGATGGTTTCTGAAATTTTTAAATTAGAAATGTATTTCCATTTAATAGTTATTTGTCTGGAGCCTCGCAAAGCCATTGGAAAGAAAGGCAAAAGTAAGAAACAAAACCTCACCAGGGCTTTTATGGTTTTCTTCGGTTCTTAGGAAAAGGCTATCATTTCTAAGGTATGATCTAGCTGTTGTCTTTTCTGATTCTGAACATCTGACAAAAGATCTCTTATCAAGAGTAAAGGAGACATTTCAGAGAGAGGCCCAGCTTTTGGAATTGTGACAATTACTCAATTTCCCTCCCTTAATGAAGGACAACTTTTTAAAAATACAAAGCTGGCCAGGTGTGGTGGCTCACACCTGTAATCCCAGCACTATGGGAGGCCAAGGTGGGCGGATCACAAGGTCAGGAGTTTGACACCAGACTGGCCAACATGGTGAAACCCCATCTCTATTAAAATTAAAAAAAAAAAAAAATCAGCCAGGTGTGGTGGTGGGCACCTGTAATCCCAGCTATTCAGGAGACTGAGGCAGGAGAATCACTTGAAACTGGAAGGCAGAGGTTGCGGTGAGCCACGATCATGCCACTGCACTCCAGCCTGGACAAAAGAGCAAAACTCTGTCTCAAAAAAACGAAAACCAAAAACAAAAACAAACAAAAAAAACAAAGCTAGGGTTGGAAAAAAGCCTTCGGAGGGCAGACTAATCAGCACCAACGAGGAATTTTCAGTTCTCTACCCCCACCCCTAAATACAGATACAGAGCAAGGCAATGAGAACCTGGACTGTCTTCTCCCTTGCATGGGATCACAGTCATGCAAGTTCTGGTGGGAGAGCTGACACTGAACTTCTACTCTGAGGTCTGACAGGTTCTAGAATCTACAGACCCAAGTTCTAAACTGGGAATCAAGACAAAGTGGATGGAATCTATAAATCTGTGCACCAGGAGTTGTAAGTTTTTAAGTGTGTCAAATTTCTTTATACATAAATCATCTTCCCACTTGTAACAAAAGTTCTATTTAAAAGTTGCTGACTTAGTCCTCAAAGCACTGCACTGTAGACACTGTTCTAGAAGCTTTCTGTTAACAGTGATGCAGTTAATAGGCCAGTTCTGGACACCCCATAGGACACACAGACACCTACACACCTAAAAAAGTTTCATCTGGCGTGTAAAAGGAGAAAGTCAGCAGAGTAAGGTTAAGTAAGACCCATGCCCTGAGTGCCCTCCCCAGCCTCCAACATGGGATCCATCTGGCCCATGATGGCAGGAAGAACAAGGGCAAACATGTCCCACACAACAACGGGATTCTGTAGGGCTGCTTCCCACCTCAGCCACACAGCAGGGCAGACTCACCATGAGCTGACTGGGTCTGACCCACCAAAGTCTGTCCCGGCCAAAGCAGAACTGCCAGATGAGCTCAGACTTAATATGCCCAAGGCCAATTCCCTCATAATGCTGCCCCAGCAAGCACTGGCTAAGGTTCTGACTGTTACCCTCTTCAACTGCCTTGAAACCCAGATAGAATTCACTCATGTGGAGAAAAATGGCCAAAGGCAGATGTGTGACAGAAACCCCTACAGGGGCTAAACAGTCAGGACACACCAGCCGCTACCTAGAGTAACAGTTGTTAGGCCTCCTAACTATACTTCCCAGAAACCTCAACAGCCCAGCACAGGTGTCTCAGGCACTGCCCATGGCCAAACTACACTTCCTAGGAAGCTCAGCAGCCCTGCTCAGAAGCCTCAGTTCCCAGAAAAGGCAAACAGGGGCAAAACACTGGGTAGACTACACTCCACAAATGCAGCTGAGCTTGCTTCTGCCTCCCAGGGAACCTGCTTTCGACTGCTGGCAACTGCTTCCTTCTGGTGCCTCCCTGGGAGGATGAACATCCTAGGGGCATTGGCTCCTGTGCCTACACTGAGCTTCATCTGCCTCTTGTTCAGGTGGGGGGAACCCATCAGTAAATTATAATTTTTACAATCCACTTGATTCATATGGGACATTTATAGCAGCTGTTTCTAACATCCTTTTCTGCTATCAGTGTGTCACTTCTGGGTCTCTACTGACTTTTCTTCATGTTATGGGGTTATACTTTCCTGCTTCTTTGCACACCTGGGTAAGTTTTGATTGGATGCCAGACATGGCCAATTACTGACTGATAGACTGCTTTCTATTTCTTTATTAGTCTCTGTCTGGAAAACTGCTAAATTACTTGCAAAGTTTGGCCTTTTCGTGGATTGCATGTATGCTTTCTAAGGAGGGTTCCAGTCAGCCTTTACTGTACAGCAAATCTGAGCCACCCACAGAGGCAATACTTCTTACTTAAGGTCCACTGTGATTCTCCAAATGTTAGGAGGCGTTTCCATTCCAGCTGGTGGAAATGCCAATTACTCCCAACCTTGTGTATAACCCAAGGATTTTTCTGCATGTTCATTTCTTCCTGTTCTTCCTCCAGCCTAGGGGGGGTTTCCTCACATACATGTGCTGATTACAACTCAAAGGCTTGTGGGGCAAACTCGATAGAACTCTCAATTCCTGAGTGCAGCTCTTCTCCAGTAATCCAACTCATGAATCTGGGTCACCTTGAATTCCTCAAACCCTAAACTCTGTCTCAATTCAGAAAGATGGCTGGGATCTGCTTGGCTTTCTCCTCTCATTGCTGCAGACTGGAAACTTTCTCCAGGCACTAAGCTGGGGCAATCATAAGGCTCATTTCATTGTTTCCTTTCTCTCATGGAAAGCCATCCTGAGCCCTTCACTTTCCAATGTCTGATGAAGTTCATTCATACATTTTGTGTATCTTTTTTAGACATTTAAGGCAGGAGATTATATACATTAGACATTTACTGTAAAAGAAAAAGGGACTGTTGGAGTTGGCTATGAAAAAGATTAGTCAATATCCAGGTGCATTATGTCATATGCATTCTATACTCATAATAAGGCATGTTAGTTCCACCCCCCTCCCCCCAACCTTTTTTTAGAAACAAAGTCTTGTCACTCAGGCTGGAGTGCAGTGGCACGATCATAGCTCACTGCAGCCTAGAACTCCTGGGCTCAAGCAATCCTCTTGCCTCAGCCTCCCAAGTAGCTGGAACTATAGGCACATACCACCATGTCCAGCTATTATTTATTTTTATTTTTTTGTAGAGATAGAGTCTCACTATGTTGCCCAGGGTGGTCTCAAATTCCTGGGCTCAAGTGATCATCCTGCCTTGGCCTCCCAAAGTGCTGAGATTACAGGTGTGAGCCACCATGCCTGGCCGGGTATGTTAATTTATGTAATTTCGGAATAGATACAAATTTATGTTTAGCAACATTTCAAGCATCATAAATCTCATGTTCTTTATGGACATTTAGGAGTTATTTTCCATGCTGATGCGATTTTAACATTTCAAGAGCATCTACAATGTTCACATATAACAATCATAGTGTAAGATTCTGTGGTTATAGAGTAAAATGTTAATATACTTGGATCATAATCAGATAGGGAGATTATCCTGGCTTATCTGGGTTTTCCCAGTGTAATCACAAGGGTCCTCAAACATGGAAGAGGGAGATAGAACACTCAAGTGTTTGAGTGATGTCAGACTGATTGGCCATTGCTAGTTTTGAAAGAAGCCCCAAACCACAGAATCTGGGCAACTTCTAGGAGCTGGAAGGGCAAGGAAAGATGCTCCCCTAGAGCCTCCAAAAAGAAAAGCAGCCCTGTCTACAGCTTGATGTTGCCCCGTGAGATGCATTTGGACTTCAGACCTCCAGAACTCTAAGATAATGATTTTGTGTTGTTCTAAGCCATTAAATCTGTGTTAGTTTGGTGCAGCACTCATAACAAACTAACATAATTTTACTTCCATATTTGTTATATTTATAGGCTTTCATTACATAATACCATTCCTGGGGTTCAAGATTTATTAGACATGTCCCTCCAAGACTCTCAAGACATAAAACTGTGATACAGGAGTTAATTTGGTGAGTTTCCATCATGTCTTACTTTCAAAAGTTTTTCTTTTCTATAACTTCTCCCATATTTTACTAAAAATGTTTTCCATATCCATTGCCTCTACAGTTGTCTTTGTTTCTTTGGCACACAAGGCACAATTTAGTGCTAAAAGCACCATCACAATCTTTCATAAACATTCCTGTAAGAATTCTTTTGATACCAATTGAGATATCATATCCAGGTAAAGGCTTCCTCATAACAGATGCATTTCTGCCCAACATGATTTCAATGGCATTTAACAGGTTTGACTTCTCACAGAAATGTCCTCTACAACCACTGCCTCCAGTGTTTCAGCCCTAAATGAGCTCTCCAGCATATAGTGGCTGCAAGATTCCTACTAAAGATTTTCCCACCTTTCTGGTATCAGATTTATTCTTATACAATATCTGTAACATACAAGATATAATTTATTACTGATGGGGCCACATTCACTTCATTTGCGAGGCTTATTCCCTGTTCAAATTCCTGATTAACTACAAAGGCTTGATTTCTTGGAAAAGGTTGTTCTACAATCACTACATTTCTACCCACTAGGCGCTCACTCTTGTTTAACAATGCCGGGGTTCCTGAGGCAGGCATTTCTATAGGTACAGTCTTTGGCTCTTTTATGTGTTCACTCATGTATAAGGAGGTATGACTCCTTGAAGGTTTCTCCACCTTCAGTGAATGTATGGCTTTCTCTCTTATGTGAGTTTTCTTATGTTTAATGAGGACTGACATGTGGGCAAAGGCTTTGCCACATTCGCTGCATGAATAGGGCCTCTCTCCAGTGTGAGTACGCTGATGCTGAATGAGCTTTGACTTGCTTCTAAAGGCTTTTTCACACTCATGACATTCATAAGGTTTCTCTCCTGTATGAATTCTCTGATGTCTGGTCAGGTCTGACTTAAAATAGAAGGTTCTCCCACAATCACTGCATTGATAAGGCTTCTCTCCTGTGTGAAGTCTCTGGTGTGCAATGAGGTATGCCTTCTGAGAAAAGGCTTTCCCACACACACTGCACCCATAGAGTTTCTCTCCAGTATGGGATCGCTGATGTCTATTGAGCCGGCACTTCCGGCTGAAGGCTTTTCCGCATTCGCTGCATCTGTAGGGTTTCTCTCCTGTATGGGTTCTCTGATGGACCATGAGCTGTGACTTTCTGGAGAAGGCTTTTCCGCATTCACTACATTCATGGGGCTTCTCTCCCGTGTGAGTTCTCTGATGCTCAGTGAGCTGAATCTTCCTCATGAATGTTTTCCCACATTCACCACATCCATGGGGTTTCTCTCCTCTTTCAGTTCTCTGATGTTGAATAAGCTGTGCTTTCCTGGAGAAGGCTCTCCCGCACACACTGCATTCATGTGGTTTCTCTCCTACACAGATTTTTTGATGGTCATTGAGCTGTGATTTAGGGCTGGTGGGTTTAACACATCTATGGTATTTAACTTCAGTAAGAGTTTTGTCACGCTTGATATGGAGGCATGATTTCCCATATCCACCAAATGCATCAGAATCTTTTCCTGTGTATCTTCTATTCTGGATAACAAACCCTAAATGAGATTTCAGACTTTTACAATGTGAGCCAAACTTATTGTGTCTTTATATTAAAGGAACAATGCTCTTAAATAAATCAAACTTATTTCCAAGGGCATAACTTTACTGACATCTTTTGAAATGTTTAAGCTCATTTTGGTTTTCTGGGTACCACTGCATATGGTCAATCTCCCCAAATTTCTTCTAGGAAAAAGAACAATAAGAACATCCATGATAATTTTTTGTGGAGGTAGCAGAAGGTACAAAAATGCCATGGTTTTGGCTGGCTTTTATAAGATCTCAGTCTCAGAGTAGTGTACCTCACCCTCTGTGAAAAAGGATGATACTATAAAACAGCAAAAGGAAAATATAGCAACTTTAGCAACAACAATGGATACTCTATAATGAATCAATACAACTTGGGCTGCCTCCCAAATTGGACCTTGCAAATGGAGACAGAGTAGAAACAGAAACACATTGCAACCGGAATAAATCAAAAATAGATGGAGGGGATGGATATATTCACCCAACAAACACTGAATGGACTGGTATTTGGGATACTACAGTGACTAATAATATATTCTCTCTCTCCATGAACCTGTCATTCAGGTAAAGATAGAGAATCAACAGGTATGCAAAGAAGTAAGAAAATTACAGAATGTGAATAACAGTGCAAAGGAAGTGGCTCACATCATAGGGTAAGAACGAGCAATGTTATGCAAAGAACAAAATAAAGAACATTCCAAGAAAAGGGAACAGCCAGTGTGAAAACCCAGAGGCAGAAAAAACTTAGGTGTGATAAAAAAAAAAAAAGTAAGAGAAGCTGGTTTACCTGGAATATCCTGAGCTTGAGTGAAGTAGAAATACAAAAGTTTGGCAAGGCTGGCAGAATTAACAACATAGAGATTTTGGAGGAAGACTTTGTTAGAAATTGGAATTTATGCTAAGAACAATGGCAGTAAGCCACCAAATATTTTTTGCCAAGAAAACATGCTCTGAATTGACAGTTCCAAAACATGACCGTTCTATGGAGAATGAATTGGAGAGATGAAATTATAGAAGAGAATACCCCAGAGGCTATGGCAGAATTCAGGTGGCTTGATTAGGAATAATTACAATGGAGATGGAGAAATGTGAAAAAACAAGGACATAAGTATGGAGGAGGGAAAGACAGGATTCACTCTTAGAACAAATATTGCCTGTAGAAAAGGGAAGAATTGAGGATAATTGCTCAATATGTGGCTTAAACACCTATGTAGGTGCTGGTGCCATTTAATAAAATGAGGGTAAAAGAAGCCTCATATCAACCAGTAAAATACACGCACAAAACAATACATGACCATTACTAAGTTAGTGCAGCATAGACACAAAGGAGATAGTCAGAAAAGAGAGTGGCCAGGCGCAGTGGCTCACGTCTGTAATTCCAACACTTTGGGAGGTCAAGGCAGGTGGGAGGAGTTTGAGACCAGCCTGGCCAACATAGTGAAACCTTGTCTCTACTACAAATACAAAAAAAAAAAAAAAAATTGGCCGGGCATGGTGGTGGGCACCTATAATCTCAGCTACTTGGGAGGCTGAGGCAGGAGAATCCCTTGAACCTGGGAGGCAGAGGTTGCAGTGAGCCAAGATTGGGCTACTGCACTCCAGACTGGGCAACAAGAGCAAAACTCTGTCTCAAAAAACAAAAAAAAAAAAAGAGGGAGCTCCAAATGTGCCCTGCAATAGTCAAAAACTACTTCTTGGAAGTAAAACAAGAGCTGACAGTGAAAGAGAGCAGTATCTGGATGTAAAAATGCAACATGATCAAATGCACAGATGTCAGTCCTCACGTTACTTGACATTATCTGTAGCATTCAATAAAATATATGCCTTCCTCTTATCTGTAGCATTCAATAAAACATATGCCTTCCTCCTCCTTGGAATAATTTTGTCACTTATTTCATGGACATCTTCTGACTCTCCTACCACAACCCTAATACTTTTTCTATGTGGCTGGGTTCTTGTCTTCTGAATCTCTGAATATATGTGGACCTCTTGTTTCTTCAAGCAACACTCACTCCTCATGTCTTCTCATCAAGTTCCAGTGCCTTGACGGCCCCTGCCCAGAGGGGAATGAAGCCATCACATCAAATGGAACTCACAGAAAAATGGAAGTCAATCAAACGTGCAGCAATGGAGGTGACGCGAACCTCTATTACTATGGCCTACTGTGAGGTGGGGCTTCAGAGTGGAGTGTTCAAAACAATAAACATTAACAGGAGCAGCTGAGACGTTCAGACATACAACAGAGTAAACCGAGAAGACTCAAAGCAACGCCAAGGTGAGCAGGAACCGGAGTGGTGAGCAATACAGCAGAACCTAAATATAATGCACAGGGAGGGAAAGGATTTTCCAGGAGGAAAGAGAATCCCAGCTTCTAACCCTGAAGCCGAGGGCAGAAGAATTTCACAGAATACTCGTCCTGGGTGCTGGCAAAATATAGAATAAGAAGGCAGGTGATATTACAGAAAAGGAGATATCTGCATGAAACTATTTGTCAGAACACAGAACTGAAATCTTTAGTATATATGAGTATACTATATGATGGTAGAAACATCTGGGAGAAAGGAGGATTCCGGTTTCACATACTGGAATAAGGAAATATTTGGAGAGCTGTCCTGGTGGCTGGTGACACACAGAGGGTTAGAGTGCAGATGAGACATTAGTAGCAGAGATGTCTATTTGCGAGTCTCCAGCAGGGGCCAGAGTGCTTAGGCCTTGAGGGTGAATTAAACTTCTACCAGGAGAATCAGCAGAAGATAAAAAGAAAACAGAAGCTGGAAAGGGGGAGCAGTGGGTGAGCAAGTCAACAGAGATGCCCCGAGAGACAAGGTGTGGGGGCTTCGATATGAGCTAAGGTGAGGTGATTTTCAGTAAAGGAAATCGGCCCTTTCCAAAGGGGCCGGGGTACGCTTTTAAGCGACAGAAGTGCTAAAAGTAACACAATCCAACCAGGTGCAGTGTCTCACGCCTGAAATCCCAGCACTTTGGGAGGCCAAAGTGGGTGGATCATGAGGTCAGGAGTTTGCGACCAGCCTGGCCAATGTAGTGAAACCCCATCTCTACTAAAAATACAAAAAATTAGCCGGCCTCATGGCCGGCACCTGTAATCCCAGCTACTCGGGAGGCTGAGGCATGAGAATCACTTGAATCTGGGAGGTGGAGGTTGCAGTGAGCCAAGATTGCACCACTGCACTCACTCCAGCCTGGAACACAAGAGCGAAACTCTGTCTCAAAAAAATAAATAAATAAATAAATAAATAAATAAAGGCAACACAATCCAGATGGGTTACAAGGGGAATTTCAAAGCAAGTAAGGTAGGGAGCAGGAAGGGACAAAAGCCGGGAGCAGGCTGGGAAGAATGGAACCAGGTAAGAATTCAAGGTCTTCAATGATATGGACTGAAATTAGATCCAGAAAATAGAAGAAAGGAAGACATTATCCTTTGAGAGCCGGGAAGGGACAGTTCTATTAGGGATGGACACAGATGCAGAAAGGCTGATTAGGTTTCTGGGCCACCAACTACTGCAAAGTCCTCTAAAGAACATTTTAAAAGCATCAACCCTTCTCCGACCCAGCTGGGATTTCCGTGCCATTTCTCCCCGTTTTCTTAGCTTTCACTCACTTACCTGGACAGGTTTGACTGTGGGCTGCTCCTTCTACTATCCATGGGGGTTCTCCTTGCTCCAACTTGAAGAGTGAATCTGGCTTGGTGCCTTGATACCCTGTAAACAGGAGATCACTGAACACTTGGCACGTGTGCTTGGGGAATGGATGAAGATAGAGAGAGTTATGTCTCAGGAACCACAGCATTTGCACTTTGATAAAGTAAAAGTCTTTCACTCAGTAAAAGAGCACAATCACTTTGTGCCAGGGAGGAAAATACAAGTCTATGACACACTCATACCCATTAGGATGGCTACTATCAAAAAAAAAAAAAAAAAAAGCAGAAAATAACAATTGTTGGCAACAATGTGGAGAAACTGGGACCCTGTGCACTCTTGGTGGGAATGTAAAATGGTACTGATATTGTGGAAAACTTCCTCAAAAAATTAACAATGGAATGACCATATCACCCAGCAATTCCACCTCTGGGTATATACCCCAAAGAATGGAAAGCAGGGTCTCAGATATTTGTACACCCATTTCATAGCAACATGATTCACAAGCCCTCAAACGTGGAAGGAACCCAGTGTTCCTTAACAGATAAGTGGATAAGCAAAAGGTGGTATATACATACAAAAGAATATCATTCAGCCTTAAAAAGGAAATTCTGGCACACGTGACAACACGGATAAACCTTGAGAACATCATACTAAGTGAAATAAGCCAGACACAAAAAGACAGACACTATATGATGCCACTTATATGAGGTACTTAGAGAAGTCAAAATCCTAAAGACAGAAAGTGAATGGTGGTTGCAAGGGGCTGGGGAGAAGTGGGGGAATGGGTAGTTGTTTTGTGAGTACAGAGTTTCAGTTTTAGAAGACAGAAGGTAGTGGTGATGGGTGCATAACACTATGAGTGAATCCCAATGAACTGCACACTTATGATTAAGATGGTAAATTTTATGTTATACATTTTACCACCACAACAAAAAAAATCTATGACATACAAACCATTAAATATTTACAGGACCATACAGAGGTCACCAAATAAGAAAGAAAAGGTAAGTGACTGTGATGCTGTCCTTACCTACTGATACTAGGTTGCTGTAGTTTTCCAACATTACTTCCTTGTACAAGACCTTCTGAGACCAGTCCAAAAACTGCCACTCCTCCCTGGTGAAGTCCACAGCCACATCTTCGAATGACAATGATCCCTATAAGAGCAATTCCAATGCAATCTGAGGTGGATAACAATAGATGATGCAGAAAAGAGGCACAGGGACGCGTCTTGATCCTTTTCTCCATGACAAATTATGCATACCATGACTATTTCACAAACCAAAGGACCATGGAATTCCAGCAATACCTCCTACCCTAAAAAAGCACTAAGGCAGTATTCACATAGATATGAAACAACGTGTAATAAGAATGTTCATTATTCCTTTGTTTCTGATAATGAAAAACTTATCAATAATCTAAATGTCTATCAAAAGCAGACAGGGTTAAATTACAGCACCTCCATGCTATAATATACTATAAAAATGTTAAAATCAATGAGGTAGATGTATACATAACTACGTGATTATCAATGATCTTCAAGGCATTCTCTTAAACGCAAAAAATTAAGCTCCCAAATAATATATGATCTAAGACATATTTTAAAAAATGTAATAATATGGCTGGGCATGGTGGCTCACACCTGTAATCTCGGCACTTTGGAAGGCCAAGGAGGGCAGATCACGAAGTCAGGAGATTAAGACCATCTTAGCTAACACGGTGAAACCCTGTCTCCACTAAAAATACAAAAAATTAGCTGGGCATAGTGGCGGGCATCTGCAGTCCCAGCTACTCAGGAGGCTGAGGCAGGAGAATGGCGTGAACCCAGGAGGCGAACCTTACAGTGAGCCAAGATCGCGCCACTGCACTCCAGCCTGGGCAACAGAGCAAGACTCCGTTTCCAAAAAAAAAAAAAAAAAAGCAATAACGCCTGAAATCCCAGCACTTTGGGAGGCTGAGGCGGGGGGCTCATGAGGTCAGTAGTTCAAGACCAGCCTGGCCAACATGGTGAAACCCAATCTCTACTAAAAATACAAAAATTAGTGGGGTGTGGTGGCACACACCTGTAATCCCAGCTACTCAGGAGGCTGAGGGAGGAGAATTGCTGGAGCCCAGGAGGCGGAGGTTGCAGTGAGCCAAGATTGTGCCATTGCACTCCAGCGCTGGGCAACAGAGCAAGACTCTATCTTGGGGGAAAAAAAAAAAGTAATAATATATACAATTATATAAGTACACACGTATGTATACAGAAATGTACCTAAATATAAATATATTCTATCAGATGTCAATCACAGGGAGGAACTAGATAGTGACCCAAACTATGAACACTTATTTATTACCCTTTGGGTTGAAGTTTGGGCAGAAAAAGGGTGAAAGGAGATACTGTCTTTTGATACAAATGCTTCTATTTGCTTGAATCTCTTGCAGGCAAATGTAGCCATGTATCATTTCAGTAATTAAACATAGTAAAAGCAAAACAAGCAGAACTGGTGCTTTGTTTTTTGAACCTGGAGTTAAGAAGGTAAGAAAGAAGCATTGTCAGTATCTGCATTCCAAGCTGTTACCAAAGAATGGAGCTGCTAGTTGTCTCCTGCTGTATCAATAACAAAAATCTGGCTGAAAGAATTCTACTTCATGGAGGATCAAAGGTCAGGCAGCCCATTCATTCTATTGGATGCTCCAGGCTTTACTCCTGGGCAAAGTCAGATGACCAGAAGCGTCTATTTTCAAAGCACCCTATTTTCAAAGAATTTTGTCCAATCCAGTTTTCCTTTGGCATTACTCCTTAGCTTACCTCCCTAAATAATAGGAAAAAGCCAAAGAAAACATCCCATGCCTTTATTACAAGGGTGACTTTGAGGATACTGTCAACCACAAAAGCTCTCTGAAGGAAAGAAATTTCTCAAGATCTAACAGCAATGACACATTTACCTCCCCTGAAGAACTGCCTTGCTCTCTCCTCACAGACATTACAATCGTGGCATTTTTCATGTGTTTCCTGTTATTTCAGCTGCCAAAAAAAAGGAGACACAGTTTAAAGCAGAGAAAACCCACAGGGTCTTAACAGTCACTTAGCTATGTTCCGACATTAAGAACTTGGCACAAACTCCCCGATCTATATATCTCGTTTCTTAATTTGCCAGGATTTTAAGATTCCAACTTAAACTTATTTTCTGACAGATCCTGATTTTTATCAGAATACACTATCTCATTTAACCAGACTGTCTTTTACAAGCTTCCACAGATCCACTGGGAAACAAAAGACAAAATAGGTAAAACAAACCTCACCTGGGCCTTGGCCATTTTCTTCAACTCTTACGGGCTAGCAACTCTAGGGTGTTCTCTCTCTTCTATCTATTCTGGGCCTTCCCAGAAGTTGTGGTCAGGTATCATCTCAGGTCAAGCTACCACTGGAAATGATGATCTTCCCCAGCCTGGAAGCTCTTTCTTCCATTACTGAAAATGTCTTGTTCCTATAGGCTAGAACCTGGGGATTCAAGACCAAATTCAATGATAAGAAACATGCTCCTAGGACCACAAGTCTCCAATTGCCATCTGGACTCACATTAACATCAGGTTCCAATATTTCATCGGTCTCCTTAACACCCTGGAATCGTGGGGCACTGGTCCATAGGAAGATATGGAATGAGCAAGAGGAATGCCTTTTTTTTTTTTTTGTTACATCAGAAATAGAACGGATGTGAAACAGGAGATAGTAAACTAAAACCACTTTATGGTCTTGTCTACTGCCAAGTTCTCACATATATGTTTTAGGTAAGACAATGAAGGAAGTGGTAAAGCCAGGCATGGTGGCATGGGCCCTAGCATCCCAGCTATTGTAGAGGCTGAGATGGGTGGATCTCACCTGAGCTCTAGAGTTCAAGACCAGCCTGGACAACATGGCAAGACTGTCTCTAAAAATAAAAACATAAAAGAAGTGGTGGCTCAGGAAACTGACTTAAATTCACCAGCAGCCACATGCTCCTAAATTTTTTGTTTATTGCACTGTCTTACTAATCAAACAAACCATATGCACTGTCTTACTAAACCCTCAATACTACTTTATAAGGTTCTCATTATTATTTCCATTTTAAACATGAGTAAGCTGAGGCTTGCTGAGACGAAATGTGTTGTGCAGGTTAACATTCTTCCTAATTAGAAGCATGGGAACTTGAATCTACATCTGGCTGTCTCCCTTGTGACACTTCCCTCCTACAACAGCCTCACAGTACAAATTTGTTCTCTTTCCCTCTCACTTTTAGAACTCTGCTTCCCAGCGCTTTACACTGCGGGGTGGCCACACAATCACAGCTACACAAACAAGAGCCTGCGATCTCCTAATGCGATATTCAGTGTGCATGCTCAGCCTGCTCCTTCCACACAGGCAGGAAAGCAAAGGGGGTCCCATCCTTGCCCCAGAAGCAGCAGTTCAGGGATCAGTCTCCCCAAGAGCCGCTCTAGAAACTCACACTCTGAGAATACCCACACTGTGAGACCAACTTGAATTTTGCTGTCACCCCAGCAAGTCATTCTCAAGACTCTCTAGCAAGCCTGTATCCTTTACACCCAGAGAGCTCATCTCCAAGCCATTTTCTGACCCACCGGTAAACACACTGGTCAAAATGCAAACCTCCTCTACCTTCAATCCTGAGACTGCTTCATCCCAGCCCCAGCCCTTTCGTCTAGCCTCCCTACAGGGCCAGTCCAAAAACAGTGGTACCCAACACAAATGTAGAAATCCGTATGGATGGCTAAGAGGTAGAAAAGGCAGTTATGCATGAATGGGTTGGAGCTGAGATCTCCAGGGTTGAAAAATCCAGGATCCAGCCATTTCCCAGAAGCTCATGGCAGACTTCCATCATATGTAATACATCAGAACTGCACCAGATACTCACACGGAGAACATGGCAATGTAACCAAGAATGGCAATGATATATCACCCTGATTGGTAAGAATAATCTGGATTTCCTACTGAACTGAGGTTCAGGTCAAATGTCCAGAGGGACAGCTACCTAAATTAAAGAGGAATTTGCTTAACAAAGGGGGCTTGGATGTCAGATTGTCAGCCAACAGTATCCAATTAAAAAAAAAAAAAACTAGGGCCTGCTGTGTTGGCTCAGGCCTGTAATTGCAGCAATTCTGCAGGTGAAGGCAGAATTCCTCGAGGCCAGGAATTTGAGACCAGCCTGGGTAACATACCAAGACCTTGTCTCTACAGAAAAATTTAAAACTTAGCCAGGCATGGTGGTGCATGCATGTAGTCCCAGGTACTTAGGACGGTGAGGAAGGAGGATTGCTTAAGCCCAGGAGTTCCAGGCTGAACTGAGTTTATGATCACATCACTGCACTCCAACCTGCACAACACAGCAAGATCCTGCCTCAGAAAAAAAAAAAAAAAGGCAAAAAAAAAAAGCCTCCACTTCAAATAAAAGTTGGGATGCTTCCAAACCATTACAAGCCCTCAGCCTTATCTGCTTTTGGGAGGAATGAAGCAGAGAGGAAGGAAACAGGTAATTTCTCTCATATGATGGCCTACCTTTGGATTTGTCTGACTGCTGTATCAGGGTATCATTTTGTATGGGTTTTTGAAAACTTTTTTTTTTTTTGAGAAGGAGTCTCGATCTGTCGCCAGGCTGGAGTGCAGTAGCGCGATCTCAGCTCCCTGCAAACTCCGCCTCCTGGGTTCAAGCAATTCTCTGCCTCAGCCTCCTGAGTAGCTGGGATTACAGGTGCCCACCACCACGCCCGGCTAATTTTTGTATTTTTAGTAAAGACAAGGTTTCTCCATCTTGGCCAGGCTGGTCTTGAAGTCCTGACCTCATGATCCACCTGCCTTAGCCTCCCATAGTGCTGAGATTACAGGCGTGAGCCACTGTACCTGGCTAAATTTTTTTTTTTTAATAGAGACAGGGTCTTGCTATGTTGGCCATGTTGGTCTTCAACTCTTGGCCTCAAGCAATCCTCCCGCCTCAGCCTCCCAACGTGCTAGGATTACAGGCATGAGTGACTGCTCCCAGCCTCATGGTATAGTTTAACTTGTTGTTCTCTACCTACCCAACTCCCAATTTTTCCTTTTAATTAAGTGAGTAGTTCAACTTAGAGGTTTGATTAGTCCCATGTTCAATTTTTTTAGGTAAGAATCCTTCGTGGATGGTGCTGTATACTTCCTACTGCAACACATGAAGAGGCATGAGAACAAAAAAAAAAAAACAAAGAAAAATAAAAAAAGAAAGGGGAGTTGTTATAGAATTAAAGAGATCTAAGAGATACAAGCAACTCGAACGCACCCACGTCATTTGGATCATGATTCAAACAATCCAATGTTAAAAGACAATGATGAAATTATCAGAAAAAAACTGAATATAGACTAGCTATTCAATGAACTAAAGAAATAGGCTACGCACAGTGGCAATAGGCTACGCACAGTGGCTCATGCCTGTAACCCCAGCACTGTGGGAGGTCAACATGGGCAGATCACTTGAGGTCAAGAGTTCAAGACCAGCCTGGCCAACAGGACGAAATCCCATCTCTACAAAAAATACAAAAATTAGCCTGGTGTGGTGGCAGATGCCTGTAAGCCCAGCTACTCAGGAGGCTGAGGCAGGAGAACTGCTTCAACCCGGGAGGCGGGAATTGCAGTGAGAAAAGATCGTGCCACTATACTCCAGCCTTGGTGACAAAGCGAAAGTCCGTCTGCCCAAAAAGATAAGGAAAGAAATTATTATTAACTTGGATACACTGAAAATGGTCTAGGATGGGTGAAGTGGCTCACACCTGTAATCCTAGCACTTTGGGAAGTCAAGGCAGGAGGACTGCTTGAGCCCAGGAGCTCAAGACCAGCCTGAGCAATACAGCAAGATCCCATCTCTAAAAGAAAAAACAAAAAGAAAATGGTCTAGTGGTTATAAATTTTTTTAATGACCATACCGGTTAGAGATTCATACTGGGATACTTACAAGTTTCAAGGCATGAAGCCTTGGATTTGCTATGAAATTCTCCAGAGTAAAACAAAAGTGGAGGCACAGATAAATATGACTGATATGACAGATGAATATGAATTGATAACTGTTGAAGCTAAGTTATGGGCAAATATTATACTATACTCTCAATTTCCATGAAAAAAAGTTAAAAAGAATCATCGGAGCCTGATGAGTTCATCTAATCTTTACAGTATAGATGACTCCAATATTATGTAACATTCACAAATCAGAGAAAAAGTGAAGCCTCTCTAACAATTATATAAAACCAGCATTTCCAAACACCAATCAATAGAATAGAAAAAAAAAGAATGACAGAGATAGGTGCTTCTTCATTCATTTTCATCCTTCCTTCTTTTCTAATACTTGCATTCGAGGTTATAAATTTCCTCCACTGACTGCTTAGGTTAAATTCAACAAGGGTTTACATGTAGAATTCTTATTAAAATGCAATTGAAAATATTTCCACTGTGATTTTTTTTTTGGAACTCAGATTTTAGAAGTGTATGGCATAACTGCCAATCATTCTGACAAGAAAAAAACACATTCTGAATTGACAGTTCCAAAAAGTCACATGACTATTCTACGGCAAATAAATCATTTTGATATTGATTTATAGCTTAATTCCACTGTAGAGAAAAAATTCCGTATGGCTTTAATCCTTTGAAATTTACTTAGACTTGCCTGATGGCTAACCATATGGTGACTTTTTATAAATATTCTATGTGCATCTGAGGAAAATTATTGAGTGCAGTGTTTTAGATTGGTCAAGTCTGTTAATTATTTATGTCATTCTAACCTTTCTGGGGTTAGGACTATTGTGGGTTAGCTGCCTGTTTCTGTAAATAATGTTTTATCAGAACACAGCCACACCCATTTGTTTATACATTCTGTATAGCTACTTTCATTCTATAATTGCAGAACCTAGTAGATGCAGACGAGACCATTTAGCCGGCAGAGACTAAAATATTTATCATCTGTCTGCACCTTTACAGAAAGTTTGCCAGCAATGGTTAATCTATACCCTTTTAGCTTTTTGTCTGCCTGTTCTCTAAGTTACTGAGAGAGGTATGTTAAGAATTTCCCATTATGATTGGGCATTTGTGGTTCCTCCTTGTGTCTAGCATACTCCTCTCCTCTATACTTAACACACTAAGTATATACTCAATTGAACCTTTTTTTTTTTTTTTTTTTTGAGACAGAGTTTCACTCTTGTTGCCTAGGCTGGAGTGAAAGGTCATGATCCCAGCTCACTGCAACTTCTGTCTCCTGGGTTCAAGTGATTCTCCTGCCTCATCCCTCCTGAGTAGCTGGGATTAGAGACACCCGCTACCACGCCAGGCTAATTTTTGTATTTTCAGTAGAGACGGGGTTTCATCATGTTGGCCAGACTGGTCTCAAACTCTTGATCTCAGGTGATCTACCCGCCTCAGCCTCCCAAAGTGCTGGGATTACAGGCGTGAGCTCTCACGCCCAGCCCTCAATAGAACTTTTATGCACCAAAAGACATGTAGAAAAACATTCATATCAACAATTCTCATAACTCCCATAAACCAAAACAATGTCTCTTGATAATGGAATGGATAAATAATATGGGGTATAATCATCAATGGAATACTACATAGCAATGAAGAAGAAATGAGCTACTGCTACATGCAGCAACGTAGATGAATTTCACAACAAAAATACTGAGCAAAAGAAGCCAGCCACAAAAGAATGTGTACCTTAGGATTTCATTTACATAAAGGTGACAACCAAGCACATCTATGATGTTTTTAGGATAACAATTACCTCTGGAGAGAACAGAGAAGATGAGGGCTTCTGGGATGCTACATTATTCTATTTTGTTAACCTGGTGATTTTTCAAGTATAATCACTTGGAAAAAAAACTTAAGAAAACTACAGACCAATTTCTGTTATAAATGTATAGGCAAAAATTTTTTTTTAATTTTCTACTGTGAAAAATTTCAAGCAAAAGAACAGTATACTCAAATTCCACATATTCATCATGTGACTTCAAGAATGATGAACTCACACCTGATTTTGTTTTATCTATACCACCATTCAGTCCCTCTCCACCAATGGATTATGGATTATTCCCAAGCTCATCCAAGATCTCTTTTCATTTCTTGATGCAAAAATATTAAATAAAATTTTAGCAAATAAAATCCAGTCTCATATTAAAAGAACAAACCATTATTGACAAGTATGGTTTTTTCCTCAGGAATACATGAAATTGGGAAATAGAGCAACATAAAGAAAATTTTAAAGAGAAAAAAATATAAATGAAAATAATTGTAAAGGTCAAAAGCCCTTAGGAAAGAGAAATAAAAACTTGATAAATCACAATCATTATTTATTCAGACCATACTGTGTACCTAGTACTACACTTTGAACATACTTAAAGAACATTTGCTCACTTAATCTTCATAACGATTCCATGAAAAAGAAACTAGGACAGCTTTTTTCCCACAAATAAGGAAACTGACTCAGAGATTAACATACCCAAGTCAGAGGCAGAGGCAGGTACTTCTTACTCCTCAGTCCATCCACTTGTCACCTGGCTAAAACTATTAGCAGATGACAAAAATGCTCAACTAGAAAAAAGAAAGACATCAATTTATAAGTTATGTGTAATGACATGAGTAGAATGAAGTGACAGAATAAACGTATATATTTTTAACTTCTGTTCTTGTCCACTAAGTAAAATCAGAAAGGAAAAAAGTAAAGAGGGAGGGGCCTTATGCGACAAAAAAAAAAGTCACGATTTACATCAAAAAGTATTAACTATGTAGAAATAAGCATAACCAGAAATGTCCCAGACACGTATGGAAAACACTACAGCTAGTCGAAGAACTAAAAACCTTGGGTTAATGGAAATCCATCGCATGTTCCTGAAAGTGTTGTATCTAGAGCTACATCAGTTCTACCCAAATTTAAGCAACCACCTGACGGAACCGCAACAGTTTAAAAAAGAAAACTCTCAAAGAGAATGTAATATGGGAATATGTAGTTGACAAGATGTTAGATTAAATACGAATAGAATTATACCAATACGTAGACACCTGAACCCAAAATACGAGTAAAATTATACCAATACCTAAACATCCGATCCCAACGCTAAACATGAAATACACTAAACCAGAGTTATTTTCTGGAGGAGTATTTAAAAGGATGGGGATGTTATTACTTGGCTCGCAATGATCCTGAAAGCAAATTTTCTACAGAATATACAGGAGCAGGGAAGCAAGGGGACCAGCAGACCCCTTTTAAAGCACGCATGTGATCAGCAATGAACGCGAACTGCCCAGAGCTGTCTCCAACACCGACACGATTCGCTTCCCCGCCACGACGCCCTAGTGCTACTGTGCAACGAAGACCTCCCAAGCGCTTGTTCCAATGCGGAGCCCATGAGCTCCCAGACTCTGGGAACTGCAACACGACTCTGCAAAACGAACCCCCAGCGAGGACTCCCCACTAGCTCCCCGCAACACGGACCCCACGCGCTAGCGAACAACCAAAAAAAAACTCAACGCGCTCTCCCTGGCTCTGAAACATTCCCAGAAGCCCACGTAGACCAGATCGATGACCCTCTGTCTCCACTGCTGGAGGCTAGTCACGGACCCTAAATCCCTAAACACTCGCCTCTGCCCGCCGACCCGCGAACCCCGCAAGCTGCAGACGCGACGCTCGCAAGTTTCGGGGATGGCGGCCGGCGAGGGCCACACAGCTTCTTTTCAGAGACGCGGAATCCGGCGAATGCCGTCCCTTCATGATGCAATATGTCTGCGCCCAGGGGATGCTTGCTGGGAGCAGCCATTTTCAACCCTACTGCCGTACAGCAGGCGGCGTTCCCCTTTCCGCGCCTTAAGACCGGTAGGCTCTGACGATGAAAAGCGATTGAAAACGACCCATTCCACCCTTTTTCCATTCCACGTGAACTGCTGGACTTTGGCTTTGCAACATTCGCCAGGAGCGCTACATATACTGCTTAGTTTCTCAAAGGCTTAAGCCTGCCCTGATCTGTCTGCAGGCTGGGTAGAGATGGTCACAGACATTTAGGCACTTTAATCGTAGGAAGAATGGAAAGAAACCATGTGGGCGCGGCAATCTGAGAGGAATTTCAAGAGGGAGGGACCTGAGCAACAATCGGAGGGGCTATTATCCTGAGGATGCTTCTGGCTGGAGGGACCTTATGGAGAAAGCCGCCTTTGAGAACTGCCTGAGAAGTATCTTTACATCTACATCAGATGTAGCCTCAGAGGAAGGAGTCAGTCAAAGAATGGGTGAAACGAAGGCAAAGCTTAGGTTATAACTGGCGTGGAGAATGGAGAACAGGGTTGATCAGCGGCCGACCAAAGTGGGGAAGTGAAGGGGGCCAGCTCCTCAACAACCCGTGGGTGTTTCTCCTCAGGTGGGACCAGAGACTGAGAAAAGAAATAAGAGACAGAGACAAAGTATAGGGAAAGAAAAGTGGGCCCAGAGGACCAGCGCTCAGCATCCGGAGGAGGACCCACACCTGCACCAGTCTCTGAGTTCCCTCTGTATTTATTGATCATTATCTCTACCATCTCAGAGAGGGGGATGTGACAGGACAATAGGGTAATGGTGGGGAGAGGGTCAGCAGGAAAACATGTGAACAAATGTCTCTGCGTCATAAACAATGTTAAGAAAAGGTGCTGTGATTTGATGTGCACATACATAAACATCTCGGTGCATTAAAGAGCAACAGAATGTCTCGGTGTAAAACCCGATTGTATTTTCTATTTACTGAGATACGAGAAAACCACCTTAAGACTGGAGGTTGAAGGGGTGGCCAGCCCCTCCACACCTGTGGGTGTTTCTCGTCAGGTGGGACGAGAGACTGAGAAAAGGAATAAGACGCAGAGACAAAGTACAGAGAAAGAAAAGTTGTCCCAGGGGACCTACGCCGGCACTGGTCTCTGAGTTCCCTCAGTATTTATTAATCACTATCTCTACCATCTCCGAAACGGGGATGTGGCAGGTCTGCAGGGTAATGGTGGGGAGTGGGTCAGCAGGAAAACATGTGAGTAAAGATCTCTGTGTCATCAATAAGTTTAAGGAAAGGTGCTGTGCCTCGGGTGCACGTAGGCCAGATTTATGTTTGACTTTACACAAACATCTCCGTGCAGTAAAGAGCAGTATTGCCGCCAGCATGTCTCACCTCCAGCCATAAGGCAGTTTTCTCCTATCTCAGTAAATAGAACATACAATCGGGTTTTACACCGAGACATTCCCTTCCGAGGGAGGAGCAGGAAACAGATGCCTTCCTCTTATCTCAACTGCAAAGAGGCCTTCCTCTTTCACTAATCCTCCTCAGCACAGACCCTTTATGGGTGTCGGGCTGGGGGATGATCAGGTCTTTCCCTTCCCACGAGGCCATATCTCAGGCAATCACATGGAGAGAAACCTTGGACAATACCTGGCTTTCCTAGGCAGAGGTCCCTGCGGCCTTCCACAGTGTATCATGTCCCTAGGTACTTGAGATTAGAGAATAGCCACAACTTTTACCAAGCATACTGCCTTCAAGCACTTTTTTAACAAAGCACATCCTGCAGAGCCCTAAATCCATTAAACCTTGAGTCAACACAGCACGTCTCTGCGAGCACAGGGTTGGGGCTAGTGTTATAGATTGACAGCATCTCAAGGTAGAAGAATTTCTCTTAGTACAGAACAAAATGGAGTTCTTTATGTCTATTTCTTTCTACATAGGCATAGTAACAGTCTGATCTCTCTTTCTTTTCCCCACAATACACTGATTTTTTTTTAAACTTGCCCTAATTAAGACAGTTTACCTACTGACAGGCCTAAGTGATAAGACCTCAAGCCCTTCCTCAAATATCACTTTTCCAGTAATAGACTTGACCTTAGCCTTAAGCTAGCATCAGTTTTGTGCCAGCACCTATTGACATTACCACTGACCACAGTTCAATTATTATATCTATCAGCTTCTGAAAATATCATCTAGATTGGACAAAGTCCTGCAGTATTCCAGTTTACAACTAGATTCAGCTCTTCCAGAATCTCTTTGTCTTCCCCTAATCCTGTTCAGCCTCTTCAGCTCTCTGTGGAACATGAGATACCAGGACATAGTTGATTCTCCTTTAAAGATCTCTTTTCATAAGGCACGAGGATACTTACCTGAGAGTACTTCTGCAGTGGGAGGAAATGAGGGTAGATGCCAGGAAGAATGTTGGGTCTGTTCCATTCCACAAGGAAGGTTGCAGCTGGTCAGTTATCTAGGAGTTTACAAGTTCATATTCCCAGGATTCTGAAAACAACAATTTGGATCAGGCATGACATTGCCTGTCCTGTATTTGTATAAACCCCAGACCACCCACAGAGAAAAATGTAGGTGTAGCTCTCAGGTGCACACAACACCCCTTCTCCATTTTCTTGTTCAGTGGCCCATTCGTGGGTGTGGAGGCATTTGTGTTTGCCATCCAAGTCTCAAACCTGTTACAGGAACTTAGTTTCTCCCACACAATGTTGTTCATGAAGCCCCTGCACAAATGGCTAACAACACTCCAGTCTTTCTTTTCATCATCACCAGTGGGACACTCTTCATGTAATCAAAAGTGTGGTGCATCAAAGTGCCAGCCCACCAAGGTTTTGTTAGTTGTGGCTGTGGCGTTTTGTCATAGTTGATTACGTTAAAACGGGGCACCTCTGCTTCCTTTCCATGTTCGGTAAGCCAGTAAGCCACTCGAGTTCTGCTGGTATATGCTGTCATGTTAGGTATACTGGTGTAGTTTATCACTGGTAGGATGAGAGGGTCACTCTAGGTGGTGACAGGTGGGCCAGGATGGCAGATCCAGCAGGGCTTCATCAGGTTACTCTTGGTGGCCAGAGCTTGGGAGAGCATAAGGAAAGCTTTATGTTTCCAGGTCTCTGCTGCCTTGTCATTGTGAAAAAAGCATATTGACAGATCAGTGCCCTCCCCCTAACTCTCCTGGGGCCTCAGATGTTCCCTACCTATTGGATAGGGGGTTGAGCTGAGTTGGGGTAGGAACCCAGTCTGTTTATACCAGTCCCTGTTGATTGACTCAAACCTTTCAGCTTCAGTTGCCTAGTCCAGGAAGGGAGGTCACATCCTATATAAACTTGATGTCTGATATGTTGCACACCTAACTGGAAAGATCAGCTGTCTCTGGCCCCACTAGAGGGAACCTAGCACTGTGGTATTCCTTGGTCCTGTCCCTTACCCTTTCTTTTTGAAAGACTCATTTTCTGAAATAATATTGAATTAACTTTAGGGTCAGAAATTTAACAGCTAATCGTCATATGATCTTGGTTGGGCACTGAAGATAGACAATTTAAAAAAGGAACCCACAAATGGGAGAAGTGAATATAATGTTGTTACAGTCTCACCAATGCATCACAATGTAGCAGTCCCTGGTTGTGAGGTATCACCCAGAGTTCTTTGTCTCACAACCAAGAAAATTAAGGAGTATGGACGCAAAGGGAGAGTTTGGAGTGAAAGTTTAACAAGTGAAAAAAGAAAGCTCTCCACAGCAGAAAGGGAGCCTGAATGGGTTGCCATTTTTACACTGAATTCAAAAGCTTTTCTATGAAACTCATCTCTGTAGCTATTTGTGTAACTTATCTGTGAAGCTGTCTGTGCAACTCGCCTTATCTGTGTAGCTGTCTTTAGGGCAAGCACAAAGCATAGCTTCTCCTGTTTGTGTAACTGTGGGTCTGTTTTAAGTAAGACTCCTCACTCCCCCTGCAAGCTCCCATGGAGTTCACCATGTACATGCCTGAAAAGGGGAGGAAACTTCTTCCTGGGAGCCCACTAATCACGCAAAGAACAAAAGGCTTCTATGCTGGGCCTTACTTTCTTATCAGAGTAGCTGCTGCCTGAGTTTTCCCCCACTCTGCTCTTTTCGTGCCTGTGCTTGATTTTTCAGGCTTTCTGTTTAAAAGAATTTTGCCAAAGGCCAGCTTTAGCTGTCTGCCCAATTAATTTTTCCTTTTTTCCTCCCTCAATGTGATAACCTTAACCAGTGATGTGGGGCAGACACTATCTCCTTTAACTTTTGGAATAATTAATGCAGTAAATAGTAATAGTTCAAGATATTCTGTTTAAAAATAGACATCAGTTATACTATCTGACATATGATGAAGTCAGGAACGGAACAGAAAGCTCTCAAACAATCCTCATTTCCGCAGGGCTTCTTTGTTTCAAGAGTACTTTAATATTTTGATAAAGGCACTTCACGGTAGTTTGTTCACAGTGTTTTATTTCTATATTTCATCTGCTAAAGGATGTGGCAGAATGTACCACTGAAAATGCTGTCACATTAACTACCTTCCAGGAGTTTTTCTCCAGTGTGTACTGACACCTCTTAAGGACAAAGGCTCTCCCACCATCACTGTATTTCTACCCACTATGAGCTCACTGTTGCCATGGTGATCACCAATGATAGGGTCCCTCTTCCAAAAGAGGCTTTCCTACTTTCTGCATTCACAGGATTTCAAGCTTTGTATTGAAACATAAGCTTGAAACCTTACGGAGGACTTAACCAGGTAATCAACTAGATACTTTTGGTCAAGGCTTTTCCGCATTTAATATACAGTTTTCAATTACGTGTTTATAACATAAAAGAAGATGTAATTGATGACTGAAGGCACGACCACGTTCACTGCATTTGTAAGGCTTCTGTCCTGTGCAAAGCTTCTATTATCTCCCGAGGGTGCACATCTGGCAAGTGGCTGTCCCACAAGGACTACGTTCCTATCTGCTAGGAGGCCGCTGGTGTTAAATGGCATCTGCGGGTTCACAGAAGGTATCTGCAGAGTCACCATATTAACAGGGCTTTTCCCCTGCATGTGTTCACTAGGACTTAAGCTATGACTTGCTGTGGAAGGACTGTCCACCTTCACTGAATCCCCCCGTTTCTCCCTTGTGTGTATTCTCTTATGTTTAACAAGGCAAGACATATAGAAGTAGGCTTTCTCACACTCATCACAGCCATAGGGTCTCTCTCCCGTGTGAGTTCTGTGATGTACAATGAGCATTGTCTTTGTAATGAAGGCTTTCCCACAGTCACTGCATTTATAGGGTTTCTCTCCTGAGTGAATTCTCTGATGTCTAATGAGTCCTGACTTCTGTGAACAGGGTTGTCCACATTCAGGACATACAAAGGGAGTCTTTCCTGTATGATATCTCTGATGTGCTACAAGGCAAGACTTCTGGCTGAAGGCCTTACCACAGTCAATGCAACCATAAGGTTTCTCTCCAGTGTGAGTTCGTTGATGTATAATGAGATTGCCCTTCTGAATGAAGCCTTTTCCACATTCACCGCATGTATAAGGCTTCTCTCCTGTATGAGTTCGCTGATGTACAATGAGTAGTGATTTTCTGGAGAAAGCTTTCCCACATTCGCTGCATTGATGCGGCTTATTTCCCGTGTGAATCCTTTGATGTTCAGTAAGCTGAGATTTCCTGGGGAAGGCTTTCCCACATTCACTACACCCATGCGGTTTCTCTCCTTTGTGAGCTCTCTCGTGTTCAGTGAGCCTGTACTTCTTGTAGAAGGTTTTCCCACACAAGCTACACCCATGGGGTTTCTTTCCTGTATGAATTCTCTTATGCTCAGTGAGCTGAGACTTCTTGAGGAAAGCTTTCCCACAGTCAGTGCATTCATGGGCTTTCTGTATATTGCGTGTTTGCTGATGTTTAAGGAATCGTGACTTAGTGCTGATGGGTTTTCTACTTTCATGGAATTCAATTTCCATAGGCATTTGTTCATGATTATCAAGGAGAAAAGCTCCATCTCCATTAAACTCAGCAGGCTCCTTTCTGTTGTATCTTCTGCTCTGGTTGGTTAAACCTAAATATGATTTCAAAGTTTTTCCATGTTCATAGTGTTGTCCCATCCTCTTCAGTATTCTTTGGTTTTGCAAGTGCTGCTGCGGATGATCATCAGCTTTCTCAATTTCTAAGAGACAGAACAATAAATCCTTCCATGATCATCACATGGAATAAAACTGCTTCAAAGATGCCTCGGGGTTGGCTGGCTTTTTACTGGAAACCCTATGATACCAACATGGAAGGAATTCCAAGTATAAACGTTCCCTATCTGTTAAAAAAACTTTTAAGAATTGCAGTTAAATACACATAAGATAAAATTTGCCAGCCAGGCACGGTGGCTTATGCCTGTAATCCCAGCACTTTGGGAGGCCAAGGCAGGTGGATCATGAGGTCAAGAGATCGAGACCATCCTGGTCAAGATGGTGAAACCCCGTCTTTACTAAAAATACAAAAAATTGGCTGGGCGTGATGGCACACGCCTGTAGTCCCAGCAACTCAGGAGGTTGAGGCAGAAGAATCGCTTGAACCTGGGAGGAGGTTGCAGTGAGCCGAGATTGTGCCTCTGCACTCCAGCCTGCCAACAGAGCGAGACTCCATCTAAAAAAAAAAACAAAAAATTTGCCAGCCAGGCACAGTGGCTCATGCCTCTAATCTCAACACTTTGGGAGGCTGAGGTGGGAGGATCGCTTGAGCCCAGGAGTTTGAGACCAGCCTGGGCTACGTAGGGAGACCCTGTCTCTACAGAAACATTTTTTTTTAATTTGAAAAAGAATAATCCTGAGTAGGGAAACAGCAGACATAGGGATTAGAATAAATAGAAAGTCACGTTAGAATGTTAGATACACAGCATTTGACTTCATTCTAATTCTATTAGACTGTTGGGTGCTAAAATATGCCCTTCTCCATTCTGTAGACCATCATCACACTAACTTTCCTAGAGCACCAATCTCACATGTGAAGGAAAATTGCAGTCAGTACTCTAACCTTTGTTAAAATAGAGATCACAGACTGATGGAACAGACTCTTTGTGGCAATAAGATACCAAATTATAAACTAGGCCTAAGGAAACACAGGCAACGGTTAAGTCGTACACCCCCTACATTTAAAGAATAAACTATGTTCTAACTGCCACGACTTTTTTGGTTCTGTTTTTTTCTTTTTCTGTAGCAGCTAAACAAACACTGACCTTGGCACAAGCAATATTGAAACAATTGCAGCTCCCCAACCACCAGATGCTGACTAACTGATGCCCCTCACCCCTAACAGCATTCCTAACTGCAGCTATGATTGGACAGGAGACTGATCTCAATATCTTTCTCCTGAGAAACACCAGTGAGGCTGTTTTGGTCAGTTGCTGGAGTCTGTGCAGACTTTTCTTATATCCTGTAAAAGACCTCCTAGCATAGAGTCAAATTCCACCTCATTTTAATGTTAAAACTCCACTCCAAAATGAACATGGATATGTTACATATATGTTTGCTTGCTATGCACACATTTGCTGATTCTCATAAAGATATTCATAAGACTCCCCCATCTCTCACTGAACAGGTATGCAAAGCAAATTCTGCAAGGCAAAAAGCCTCCTGCAAGGCAAAAAAAAAAAAACAAAAAAAAAGAGTTTCCCCTCTCTTCAGTGATGTGTGTTTCTTTCACTTCCCCAAGGTCACATTACTCAGATTTGCGAATCATCTTTTGTTAGAATATAAAGTTTCTCTTTGTCTCCTCGATTTTTCAGTTAACACCTTGTATCTACCTGGCTATGACACATTCTCTTATGTTCCAACAGAAAGAGAAACACAGCGATCCCTGTGGACTTTCAGAACATGCAAGCGGAACACGCAGTCCTCTCCGCACAGCTCTGCCACTGCACCACATGTGGAAACTGTCACCTTCTTTATCATGCCCTACTTGCATAGATGTCATATTAGAATTTTTTTTTTCCACTTTACTGTCCCTAATATACTAATCCCTCACCTTGTCACTAACAGCCTCTACTTCCTGAATTTTGTACTTATGTCTCTGTTGGCATCGGTGAAGGGAGCCCTTAAGGAACACCTTCCTACTTCTGAATCAAGACTTGAGGCAGCTTTACTTTTAGTTTTTCTTAGAACATCAACTACACAGTATTATTGCTACAATACTGCCACCAGGTGAAAGGTAACCTCTACGCAGAGCTAGAAAAATACACAACTTTACCTCCACCACCATCCTAAATTACTGGCACAGAAAACTCACAGCAGGAGCTCAACAATAAAAGTTTTACCATTACCAGACGCATCCACTTTAAGTTCCCACTTGACCGTTTCCCAGCAAATATCTTCTAACACTGGCCTCCATGTGACCAGTTTCAGGCTAATCTCTTTTTTTTTTTTTGAGATGGAGTCTTGCTCTGTCACCCAGGCTGGAGTACAGTGGCACGATCTCAGCTCACTTCAACCTCTGCCTCCCGGGTTCAAGCAATTCTGCCTCAGCCTCCTGAACAGCTGGGATCACAGGCGTGTGCCACCACACCTGGCTAATTTTTTGTATTTTAAGTAGAGGCAGGGTTTCACCACGTTGGCCAGACTGGTCTCAAACTCCTGACCCTCGGGTGATCTGCCCACCTCGGCCTCCCAAAGTGCTGGGATTACAGGAATGAGCCACCGCACCTGGCCTTCAGGCTAATCTTCTGACAGTCCCCACATGGCCTTGCATTTCCAGCTCTACAACTTCTTGTCTTGTCATAGTTCTTCATCTTAATTCAATACCTAGCTATGTCCCTTGCATAAGGTATTTTATCAGTCTGTCATTCTCCATCTTGTCTAGACCACTGTAGGTTACATTTCTTCTAAAGTCCTACAATTCTTTCTGTATTTACTGTTCACTTTATCTTTGTATAGCCCTGAATTGTAACAAAAACATTTCATATGTTCAAAAGTTTAATTTGTAAATATTACATAAAAATTTGCCCTATTTTTGCTAATAAAATCTTTGCTCAAGAGAGACATTTCTGTTTCTCAGTAAATTCAGTCTCTTCTACTGTGTATTATGGCTACAGTTCATCAACTCATGAAAACAGCCCCCGAGAGACAAGCCCAGGCCCCCAACCCAATTCTAACAAAACCAGACTCGCAGAGCAAGAGGCCTTGGGATGGACAGTGTCATGAAAACTCCTTTAATAAAGATCTTGCCTTTAAGAAATGCTTAATAGATAGAAAAGTATGATCTCTCTTCAGCCTGGCTAATCTGTCCTTCGATAAAGAAATGCATGAATGACCAAGATGTATTTCAGTCTTATACAAGGAAGAACGAAAACCAGGCCCTTGACTCCAGAGTAGCAAAGGAACCTCAAGCACCACCAAATCCCACTGATATGATATCTATGGGAGTGGCTTGTGTGTGATTGGGGTGCAAAGTAGAATGGGAATCTAGAGATGGAAGATATTATTATATTGTAGTGTATTATAAACCATGTCATGAAAAGAAAATTCAAGGTGAAAAATACATACTGTCACAATGCAAAAAACAAACCATAGTCACATACCTATGCCTCAGGTTTTTTTGTTTTTCTGTTTTTTGTTTTGAGATGGAGTCTTACTCTGTCACCTAGGCTGGAGTGCAATGGCGTGATCTCTGCTCACTGCAACCTCCACCTCCTGGGTTCAAGTGATTCTCCTGCCTCAGCCTCCCAAATAGCTGGGACTACAGGCATATGTCACCACGCCCGGATAATTTTTGTATTTTTAGTAGAAACAGGGTTTCACCATGTTGGCCAAGCTGGTCTCAAACTCTTGACCTCATGATATGCCTGCCTCGGCCTCCCAAACTGCTGGGATTACAGCCACCATGCCTGACCTCCTGTGCCTCAGTTCTTATCTCATTTGATGAATCAGCAACTCTAGACAATGCTTATGGCATTCTCTCTCTCTTATATAAATGTATATATAGATATAAAGTATATATATAAATGTATATACACATATATAGACACATACACATATATATACACACACATGCATATACATATAAGTGCTGTTCTAGCAAATTAATCAAACTTGAGGAGAGGGTCTTGGGAACCTCTACTTTACAGCTGGTTGATCAGAAGCTGAGGTGACAACCTGGGACTTGCCACTGGCATTTGAAGTGGGAGACAGTCTTGGACTGATCCCTTAACCTGTGGGATCTGATGCCGCATCAGGTAGATAGTGTCAGAGCTGATTTGAAATAGAGGACACCCAGCTGATGTCTGCTGGAGAATTGTCTGAGGTGTGAGAAAACAACCCTATATATCCAGTGGCATAAATGCTGGGTTGAGTGACTATGTGAGACAAAGAAAAACCAGTTTGTTGTTTTTGCCTCAGAAACACAAAATGATCCTCTGACAAGTGATGAAGAAGAATGGGAAGATGTGAAAATCCAAGCAAGAAGAACTTACGGGAAACAACATCTAAGAAGAAATGAATAGGGATCAGTTCAGTTCCAAGAAGGGATAAAGGGGTATGTATGTTTCTCTAAATTCCTATAAGAAAAAGAGCTCTTGTATCACATGGGGAGAAGGATATGTGGCAGCTGTTTCTGTCTCCCCAAACACTTTCACAACTGTCATGCCTTCTCTAAACGACCAGAATGTGACTTTCACTGCCTTCCTCTCTTGCTGGTTCTCTCTCACTTACCTGGATGAGTTGGACTGTGGATTTCATCTTCTAATGCCCATAGCGGTTCTCCTTGTTCCAACTTGGTGAGGGCATCAGGTTTGCTAGCTTGAAACCCTGTTTGTGGGAAATGAGAGAAGACTTAGGCTCACTGAATTGCACTACATGGCTCTGATGATAGGAGAAAGGTACATGTTAGGGACTGCATAATTTGCATGTTAGCAAATTAAAGCGTTTTTTTCTAAGATGAAGGAAGATAGTGCCTCTTCCTCTGGGACCAGAGAGGGGCCTGAGGATCTGCCATTTGGGAGCATAGCAGACACACCAAAGCTTCCAGAAGCTAAGGAAGCAAAGGCCACTGACTGGGCACCCTCTGAGTGACACAGGGCAGCTGTCCTCACCCACTGACACAAGGTTGCTGTAGTTCTCCAACATCACATCCCGGTACAGATGCTTCTGAGCAGGGCCCAGGAGCTGCCACTCCTCCCAGGTGAAGTCCACAGCCACATCCCTCAGGGTCAGTGATTCCTGTAATAACACAGTCCTGCTTAATATGAAGTGTTTCTATTTTATTGGCATGGAAGAAATATGAAGTTGTTCTGCGCATTTTCACCATATAAGTTGCACCTGTACAGTTGTCCCTTGGTATACCCAATGGAATGGTTTCAGGATGCCCCGCATATACTGAAACTGTGCATACTCATGATCCACAGTTGGCCTGGTGGAATCTGCTTATGGCACTCTGTATAAGTGAGTTGCACATCCTGAGAATATTATATTTTTGATTCAAGCTTGGATATAAGTGGACCCTTGCAGTACAAACTCAGCATGTTCACAAATAAACTGTATTCCTAGTTCTTTCAATATACTGTGACAGAAGCAAAGTTATAGTAAAATATTCTATATTTTATAATAACCATGCAGCCATCCATTAATCCAACAAATCGTAAGTTTCTGTAATATGCAGCCATTAAATCCTCTTGCTAACATAAGAACATCTGCAGTGTTTTTCAGCACCTACTTGCAACCCTGAACTATATGCTATAGTCATATAGCATGAGCAGAATAATCTAGCATGATTCCCTTCATGTGAACTATACCATGATGTTTAGCAAAACAACAAATAAACTATGCAGTGGCTGTAAAAAATAAGCCATCACACATGTAAGCATTGACATGCACAGATACATGTATATGTATACAAATGCATGTGTACGTACACACACACACACACACACACATGCAGACATAGATGTCCTCACAGGTACATCCCTAGAACAGGAAGACAAGCATTTGTTAATGACATACTAGGGAATTAGGAAAAAAAGTACACAGAGGGGGAACTTTGTTTTCTCACTATGTGTACTATTTAACTTGAGTCTTTCACATTGAAAAATCTATCCATGAGGTCAGGCATGGTGTCTCATGCCTGTAAACCCAGCACTTTGGGAGGTGAAGGCGGGTGGATCACCTGAGGTCAGGAATCTGAGACCAGCCTAGCCAACATGGCGAAACCTGGTCTCAACTAAAAATACTAAAATTAGTTGGGCATGGTGGCACCCAGATGAAGCATGAGAATCGCTTGAACCCAGGAGGCAGAGGTTGCAGTGAGCGGAGATCACGCCACTGCACTCCAGTCTGGGCACCAAAGTAAGACTGTATCTGAAACAAACAAACAAAAAAAACCATCCATGAATCTGTGGTTCTTTCTGATACCAAATACACAGTGTCTTTTCCAGCAACACTTCTCCAACCCTTTGATTCTCTGATGCCAACTGGGTATCCTAGAGTTCGATCCTCTGCTAACACTAACCACTGAGGGTTATCATCAGACTCTGCAAGTTTAAGGGCTCGGTCCCACAAGACTGCCCTCACATCATGTGCCGCTCTGGGGTCCCCACATTATCGCACTTCTGTCCAACTTGACCACAATTGGGGGCTGCCACAACCTTTCTGCTCAGGTTTGATAATTTGCTAGAATGACTCACAGAACTCAGGAAAAATGTCACACAATTACAGTTTATTATCTAGGATACAAATGACAGCCAGGTGAAGAGGTACAGAAGTCAAGGTCCAAAGGATGCCAAGCACAGAAGCGTCTGTTCCTGTGGAATTGCAGCACACCCTTCCCCCACCCCCCACTTCCACATGTGATCTCCAAACCCCATGGGGGTTTTCATGGAGATTCTACGATGTGGGCATGATTAAATCATCAACCATGGCTGGGCATGGTGGCTCACACCTGTAATCCCAACACTTGGGGAGGCCGAGGCAGGCGGATCATGAGGTCAGGAGATCGAGACCATCCTGGCCAACATTCTCTACTAAAAATACAAAAAATTAGCTGGGTGTGGTGGTGCGCACCTGTAGTCCCAGCTACTCAGGAGGCTGAGGCAGGAGAATTGCTTGAACCCAGGAGGTGGTGGATGCAGTGAGCCGAGATTGTGCCACTGCACTCCAGCCTGGTGACAGAGCGAGACTCTGTCTCAGAAAAAAGAAAAAGAAAAAAGAAATAATCAACCATTGGTGACAGAATCTGGAGGTCAGGGGTGGGACTGAAAGTTCCAATTCTGTAATCAAGGCTTGGTCTTTCTGGCAACCAGCCCCATCCTGAGGTCACCTCATTACTATAAAAGGAGCCCACCCTGAGTCACCTCATTACCATAAACTCAGGTATGGTTGAAAGGGGCTGGTTATGAAGAACAAAATACACTCCTATCACTCAGGAAATTCTAAAGGTTTTAGGAGCTCTGTGCCAGGAACCAGAGATAGAAACCAAATATATACACATTTAAAACTATAATGAGTCATTTGCATAATTTTTTCAAGTTAAGGCATTAAAAGAGGTGAGAGGTTAACAACTGGATTTGAAAACAGGGAAGGGCTCTGTATTTTCTGAGACAACATGACATTCTAAAGCAAACCCTGTGGATCTCAACAACCCAAGCCATTGCGAAAGGGAACTTTCAACTCCCTATGGTCAAATCTGTACTTAAACGCCAGTTTAGTGACCTGTTCAAGGAGCGCCTTTGAAAGCAAACCTTGCATTGTTTAGGCAACTAGGTTTATTCACAGACTAAACAGACTGCAACAAGGTTGGGTATATAGGCCGCGGTGCTGAGGGCTCCTGAAATACTGTGTTCATTAAATTCTGCTTGGTATAGTCCCAGAGAGGACTCAGAATAATCATGTAGAAACAGCCACACGAAACTTGCTTGTGTATCTTTTGGAAGAAAGCTGTTAAGGACAAAAAGTCTATCTTGTCACCTCTAGCAAAAAGCATCAAACGAATTTTCCAAGATTTAAGTGCCATGAAATACTGACATCCCCTGAGGAAGGGACTCACATTCTCCTCAGAATCAGTGCACATCATGTAACTTACCATGATTCTCTGGGTGTGATGGTGGCCAAAGATTTTGGACACAAGTTGACACTTAATGTAACCAACAGGGTCCGGCAGAGTCACACATTATATTCCAACACTGGTCATATGTGAGCCATGTGAACAATGTATTCATGATCCCGCTTTGTCCTGGTTGAAAGGTACAGTCTAAGTCTGTTTCTCCCCAGAGCTCATTTTTTCCAATTTATACTTTTAATGTAAAGGAACTGATTTCTTCAGACTTCCACAAATCCATCAGGGAATCGAGTTAAGAATAAAACAAACCAAAAGTCACCTGGGCCTCTGTCATTTTCTTCTGTTTCAGGAAATACCCAAGAACTGGGATGCTTCATCTTTCGTTTCTTCTGGATCCTCCCTAAATTTTGGCTAAGAAATCTGAGTTTCCATTTAAGAGTGTTCCCAGAAATGATGACATCCACATGCAGGAACCTCCTCCTTCCTTCACTTGAAGTCTCTTGCTTCTGGGGAGCCAGGATCTGTGGAGTAAAAATCAAGTTCATTTGGTGACACATTCCCTCTGGGCCCAGATGCTGTCTCTGCTGCTTAAACTCTCCTGAAGTCAAGGCCAAGCAATACATCTAAGCATCCCTTTGTCAGGTGTCTCCACGTCTTTACATCCCAGGGCAATAAAACAACACTCTGAATGTGGAGAGTCATATGGGAGTGGGCTTAACTAGCAGCCGGCATATCTGACCACATTCGAGTGCTTCAAAGGAGTGTCTTTCTCCTTAAGCACAGTGTTTATAGACAAAAGAGCAGGTCAACGTGATGGCAATAAGGCGGCTTTCCTCCTCAGAGGCCTCCTGAGGCTTTCCACAATTTATTGTCCCATACTTTTATGACCAGTTTATACCAGCACCCTACAAGCCTTTTTCCCAACAATCTTGAGACACACAGAGAAGAAACACACAGGGAAAAGACAAGGCCATGTGAAGATGGAGGCAGAGACTGGAGTGATGCTGCCACAAGTCAAGGACACCTGAGAGTCTGTTGGAAAACGGGAGACAGGTGAATGAATGCAGACAGCTGTGCCAGGGGTCCCTCAAGACCACTCCCAGATGCAGTGATTCACTAGGTGAACTCACAACACTCAGTTTGTAATCATATTCATGGCAACCACTGATTACTGTGAAAACATACAGAGCAAAACCAGCAAAGGGAAAAGGTACATGTGGCAAAGTCTGGAGGAAGCCTAACACAAGTTTCAAGTTCAGTCTCTTTGGAGTCACACAGGATACACTTGATTCCTCCAGCCACAAGTTGTGACAACACACGTGAAACACTATAGACCAAGGAAGTTTACTAGAGAGAGATTGTGTGCCCATGGTTTTTATTGGGGGCTGATCATGAAGGTGCTTACTGGCTAACATACACCAAAACTCCAGAATCCTAGAGGAAAGCAGGTGTTCAGGATAAACCACATTGTTTGAAAAAACAACTTAGGCACAGTGAGCCACTCTTATTAGGAGACGGTGAGACGGCCTCCAAAAATCTAAGCTCCCAAACGCCAGATGCTATGGTTTGAATGTTTGAGGCCTCCAAAATTCATGTTGAAACTTACTCTCCAATGCAGTGGTATCAAGAGATGGGCTTTTAGGAAGTGATTAAGTCATGAGAGCTCCTCCCTTGTGAGTGGCATTAAGGCCCTTACACAAGAGGCTTTGGCCAGGCGCAGTGGCTCATGCACGTAATCCCGGCACTTTGGAAGGCTGAGGTGGGAGGATCGCTTGAGGCCAGAAGTTTGAGGCTGCAGTGAGTTGTGATTGCACCACTGCACTCTAGCCTGGGCAACACAGCAAGACCCTGTCTCTTCAAAAAAAAAAAAAAAAAAAAAATTACAGGTGTGGTGGCTCACACCTGTAATTCCAGTGGCAAAAGTGGGCAGATCACTTGAGCTCAGGACTTGGCAACATGGTGAAACCCCATCTCTACAAAAAATACAAAAATTATCCAAGCGTGGTGGCATATGCCTGTATTCCCAGCTACTTAGGTGGCCAAGGCAGGATTGCTTGAGCCTGGGAGGTTAAGAGGTTGAGACTGCAGTGAGCTATGATGGTGCCACTGCACTCCAGGCTGGGTGACAAAGTGAGACTCTGTATCAAAAAAAAAAAAAAAAACCTAAAGA